AGGAGAGGAGATTTAGACTAGAAGTATTTACTCACTAACTCCTGGCACTGTTAAAGCCGTCAACGTGCAATCCATAGCTCTTTAAATGAAGGGTCCCAAATATTCATTCTATGCCACTCTTGTAAGGCACCTGTGTAAGCTGTGAGGTTTTTAACATGTGAATTGATTGGTAAATACACGTCTTGCCACTGGAGAGCTGCAGCATCTAACAAAGTCAGGCACCGATCTGTGAAAGAGGCGTTCACCTGCCAGAGGTTTCATTTCAGTTGAACAGCAAATTTAGTGCTGGCGAAAAGAGCCTGAGAAACCCAGCCTCCCGCTCTCCCCCCACGCTCCTATTCCAAACCCAGGAGTAGTGCAGGAAGCAGCCGGGCAAGTTCCCTCACCCACCACCCCTCATCTGTAACTCTGCTCCCAGCTGAGCCCTTGGCTTCCCTGCTGCGGCGGCAGACACGGGACCCCATGGCAACCTTCTCTAGAAGCCAGACCGAGCAAAACAGCTGACAGCCGGGAACTCAGAAAGCGTCTCAAGGCAGGGACCACTGGGCCTTGTTTGCAAGGCGCTACCCCCACACCTCCACCAGCGGACACTAGTGCAGCAGCCCGCGGCCTCGCCCGGGGGCGGCAGACACGGGACCCCATGGCAACCTTCTCTAGAAGCCAGACCGAGCAAAACAGCTGACAGCCGGGAACTCAGAAAGCGTCTCAAGGCAGGGACCAATCGGCCTTGTTTGCAAGGCGCTACCCCCACACCTCCACCAGCAGACACTAGTGCAGCAGCCTGTGGCCTCTCCCACCTTCCCCAGCGATGGAGAGCTGCCACATTGCTCCCGGCACCCTTCCGCCTCGAGGACTCGCGCACGCAGGGCAGTTCACCTAGGATACGGTTTGCAAGGCACAGCCAAGGACTAGCCACAAACAAGAGGCGCTATATTTGGAAACACTGACTGGCCTCCAACAGCAGGCTCAGCATTCGCAGTGTCTGAGAAAAAAGGAAAATGCACTATTGCTGCTCTGCAGGCGACACTGCAGAAAGGGCCCTTCCCTAGTGCTGTGAAGCCGGAGGCTCGGTTGCTTCGTGGGTTTTGGCATTGCAGCTGCTGGCTACTAACCCGACAAATGCCTTGCCCTGTCGCTCCCATGGAATCAGAAGCCACTCCTCGCTGTTGCTGTTCGTGCGGCTGCTTTAGAAGGTCACCTGTACACAAGGGGATACCAGCTGCTTTTAGACTTTTTTCAACAGGCCATTCAAGGTTGTCACGTGATTAGTTCAAGTGATTCCAAGGGCCTGACTATTCCCGCTCAGGGTCACTAGAGAAAAGCATCACTTCATTAGGGCCTGTTTGCGACGGTAAGCTGTATTTCCTAGCAGAGAAGTGTTTTCCTCCAAACCTGCCATTTTCATTCCCACGAACGACTCAAACCACACACAACTAGTGATCTTTTTGCTCACTCTGCAATTAAGGTGCCTTTCTTTGTGACCTAAACGTTTTTTGAATACTCCAGTCGGTAACATTAAAAAAAAAACCACACCTTGATTTAAAAACCACCCAAGCCCCAAAATATCAATAAACCCACTTACTGAACACAGTGCTTGGAATACTTACTTCCCCAGTGCCTAAAAGCAAATGCATTCTGGAGCATTTACCATGGGATGCAGACAAAAGCATGCAGCAGCTGAAACCAGAGAGCTTCCATATTTTCTGAAAGTACATAAGACAGGAGAGATCCCACAAAAATGAGGAAGGGCAAACGTAGTGTCCATCTTTAAAAAAGGGGGGAAAGGAGGAGCCAGGGGACTCTAGACCAGTTGCCTGAATTCAATACCTGGGGAGCTACTACAGCAATGAATAAAACATTCCAGTTGCAAATGCCTGGAGGATGAAGGGGGCTGATCACTAGCAGCCAGCCTGGATTTACTAAGAACCAACCATACCAACCCTGCTTGATTTCTCTCTTGGACAGGGTAACAACCAGCTTGGTGGTTGGGGGAATGCAGTGGACACAAGGTACCTGGACTTCAGCAAGGCTTCTGACACGGTTCTTTCATGACATTCTGATCAGAAGCTGGAGAATTGCAGGCTCAGCAGAACGACGATTCGGGAGTTCATAATTGGTAAAATCCTTGAAACGAGGAGCAGCTCTGAAGTGTTAGATTGGAAGGGGGTCTCGAGTGGGTTCCACCAGGATCTGTTCTGGGCCTAGTGTTATTTAACATTTTTATGAATGGCTTAGATATCGGACTAGAGAGCTTAGTGACCAAATCTGTAGATGATACTAAGCTAGGAGGAGGGTTGCAAACACATTGGAGGACAGAGCTAAAATTAATAATGATCTTGAAAAAATGGAAAGCTGGGCTACAGATAACAAAATGAAATTCATCCAAAACAAATATAAG